TTTGGCAGAGAACTCGCTCCCAATGGGAGCTGCCTGCAGGGCGGTGCAGGCCAGGTGGAGCTATCTCTTCCCTTCCCCTGCCCCAGCCCTGGGGCTTTGGGGCCCCCCCACAGTGGCTGGGCGGCCACTGGGCCCTGCCTGCAGGGCGGTGCAGGCCAGGTGGAGCTATCTCTTCCCTTCCCCTGCCCCAGCCCTGGGGCTTTGGGGCCCCCCCACAGTGGCTGCTGCAGTCTTCCTGGGGTGGGGCAGCAGAGGGGTTCTCCCCCCCCAGCACAGCAGGGGGGCTACCATCCCGTGCCAGGCCCCCATATAATCCCACATTGCCATGGAGAGGAGACAAGAGGGTGGAGCAGGGTCCAGGTTTGGGGGAACAGGTGGGGCAGGAGTGGGGGGGTTGCCCCATGCCCCACACCTGGGGCACTGGAGGGGGCGTTGTCCCAGGCCCTGTGTCCCACTAGGGGCATCCCTGCCCCTTGGAAAAGGGACTTTAACCGGTTAGAGTTGGGGGGGACGGGGACTCCTGGGTGCTGTCCGCAGCTCTTGGGTGGGCATAGGGCCTAGTGGGTAGAGCGTGGCAGGGTGGGGCTGACACTTAGACTCAGCACCTTGCACGGCTGAAATCTGGATGGGCGGGAAAGGAGGAAGTTTCTCGGGGAGAGACGGTTTCGGTTCCAGTCCTTCTGCGACGTCGTGACGCCGGTGAGACCCACGGAGAGGACACCGCACACTCACCTGCCTCGGTCACAGCTCAACCCGCCGGAGGTGGGGCAGCAGGAGTCTGCGGCCGCTGGGCTGAGAGCCCCCGCCCCGCGGCGCGGCGGGGGGGCGGGAGGGGTAAGGTCCAGACAGCAGGGAGTCCAGGGCAGGGGTCGGTGTCTGGGAAAACAGAGATAAACTCCTGGCGCGTGGCGGAAAGAGGAGATCCATGGGTCAGCGGCCAGCGAGTTGCTCTCACGTGGGGCTTTAATGCGGCCAGCTCTGGGGCGGAGCTCAGCAGCTTTTCAAACCCCCCACAGAGCAGAAAAGGGGGTCCCCAAAACAGCAAAATTTGGGCCGGGGCAGCCTGCTCGTGACGGCCCCCACGCCCGATGTGTCTGGGGAGAGGGGTCGGGTCCTTCCCTGAGCGTTTTGGCAAGACACGGGACCCAGCCGCCCTGCCCCATGGCCAGAGTCCACGCAGGTTATTGATTGGAGGCAGCTAATGATTAACGGCTGGCCCGTGGGGTCAGGACTCTGTTATTAACCGGGCGGCTTCGTTCGCCTAGCGCCTTGCTCGGTTTTTGTTCCCTCCTCCTCCTCCGTGTTCGAGTGGGTCTGTCTGTCTGTCTGTCCGAAAACTCCTCCTAAACGAAGCGCCGGAATTCGGCCTCTGGTCCTGACTGACGGCAAGGTGGGCGGGGCCAGGACAACGGGCGGTCCTTGGAATGGGACTGGTTCCCATCAAGAAAAAAGGCCGACTCACTAGGTTGGTGAACTCGGCACGGCCCCATCCAGGACAGCTCCAGCCTGCCAGCCCCCCCAAGCACCCTTAAGGGAGGGCAGGGGGGCGGGCAGCCCTGCCCCACACCCTGTGTTTGTACAGCACCCCCTCGTCCGGGAGCCGGGGAACGTGCACCGTTCGCTGCGTTCCTCGCTCCGGCTGGGAAGCGCAGGGGGGCAGGGGACACGCATGCTTGGCCCCACGCTGCGGCAGTGACAAAGGGCTGGGGTTGTCCTCCCCGCGCCCCCCGGGCAACCGAAATATTGAAGCCCTCCGCCCCACCGCGGCGCCACGGTTTCAGTGAAGAAAAACGAGAATGGAGATAAGGACCCGAGCCACCCCGGGTCCGGCTTCTAGGACAGGGACAAAGCGGAAAAGCTGGGGTGACCTGTGTGTCCCGAAGCACTAAGAGGACCGGTGGGGTGAGTTCGGTGCCACCTCGAGAGGGTTCATGGAAGCCCAGCCGATATTTCTCAGGAGGGAAACACATCTGCGGGGGGAAAACAGCTGGTGGGGGGGGGGTCTTACAAACCCGCTGGGAGTGTTTTCACTCATGCTGATTGAAAATAGGCGCCAATCGGTGTTCCTGCTCATGTTGTTCCCCCCAGTGTGCGGAATGAATTTTATTACGGCATGTGCGGACGTGCACCACCTAGAGAAACACACCTTGCTGTCTGCCCACCGCCCGGCGGGGTCTTACAAACCCGCTGGGAGTGTTTTCACTCATGCTGATTGAAAATAGGCGCCAATCGGTGTTCCTGCTCATGTTGTTCCCCCCAGTGTGCGGAATGAATTTTATTACGGCATGTGCGGACGTGCACCACCTAGAGAAACACACCTTGCTGTCTGCCCACCGCCCGGCTGGCATTTGAATCTCAACAAAGTGCAGGCTGTCTGTTAGCCCCGCCCCTTCTGCTTGAGGCCCCGCCCCATCCAGCCCCTCCCCACACCCTGCGACTGTTCAATCGCTGTCTTTTCCAGGGAAATCACCAGAGGCTTTATTCCAGGGCGGACTGATTCAAATAAAAATAATTGAAGTATCTGATTTTCTATTACTCCGAATTTCAACCTCCCCCTTGTCACATTGAAACAGTCACATCCAGGCACTGAGCACCCCTCTGC